GTAATGTTAACGCTCAAGTAGAGAAGCTGAGTCGATCGCAAAGGCATCTGGGGATATTCACAGAATCCCACACCAACAAATCGACAACGCTGATCGTGTTGGAATTATGTTCTGACAATCAATTGTTTCTCGCTAGCACAAGCTTTGGGCATAAAGTAAGACACTGTATCGCACAGCGTCCACCAACATAAAATCAACGACAGAGATAGACACCGCTACAAGCCATCGTTAGAGGAATGCCACTCTTTCTGAAGTACCAGTTTGGACTCCGATAACGCGCTAGTACGGGTTCATGTATGTCTGCACCTTGCTGGTAGGACACAGGAGGCAGTGAGGCTTATCAGTGCTCAAACGGTAGATGAGGATGCCAAGTGCGCATTTAGAGAGTAGTTAGCTAAGCATTTATCTGAACGTGACAGATAGGTCATCCTGAGGAAACCTGGTGTTATTTTTAGTGTACTGTAGAAGCAGATGTAAAGACAACTGGTAACCTACACTCGATAGTTAGCAAATGCGACTTCATCCAAACAGTTTGATGTGAGAAAACTTATTCCAGTCGGCTCTAACCACGATGAGGATAGAAAGCAACTCAGACATAAGTTGAACGACAGTCTAAGGGGCAATCGCGAGCAGTGTGGGGTTGGGTAAGGGAGAAAGATGTGAAAGCATCAGCGTTGCGTAACATCTGTCAATTATTTAGGCTGATTAAGGATACCAGCAAGAAGATGATAGTGACTGACACCACCACCCAAAAGGATGGAACGCTGATAATCTTCCAGGACAAGTGGATAGAACGTTGGGCATAACACTTTGAAGAACATTTCAACTGGCCCACATCAGTTGCCCAACATTCAGCCTGGACCTGAATGGGAAGTGGATGGCGGTCTTCCCACTCTTCTCGAAGTTGAGAGAGATGTATGGAGCATGGAACGAGACACGGAAGCAGTACCAGACAATTTGCCATCTAAGATATACAAGGATGGAGGTGGGGAATCGCTGATTAAAGTAACGGAGGTAATGGGTAGTGTATGGAGATCAGAGATCGTGCCACTATGCTGGTCTACTTCACTGACTATCCCAGTCCATAAGAAGAGAGAGAAATCTTCTTGTGACAACTATAGGGATATTAGTTTGACCAATATTGTGTACAAGATCCTAGCACCCATAGTTATCGGACACCTAAATGGGGCTCGAGAAAACCAGGTAGGTTTCAGACTGAGCTGGGCGTGGGTGTGTTGACCATACTTTTACTCTTCAACAGGTTCTGGAACACAGAAATATCTACGGGCGGCCGACACTTGCCATATTTGTTGACCTACCTGTAGGTGGCATTTGATTCTGTCGTCCATGGGGTATTGTGACAGTATCTGACTGTGAAGAGAGTTCCGAGTAGGTACATAATGCTAGTCAAAGCTCTCTACTCGAACTCAGGCAGTCATGTAGGGGTTTGTGAAGAGTTGTCATATGAATTGACGATAACTAGTAGTGAGCCGTTGGAAACGCATGTCCACCGTCACCGTTCCTATTGAACTTTGTCATAAACGTCATAACCTTGCGTGTGTCTGGCTTCACAGGGATTGATCTACCCCTTGGTCATCTGGTTGACTTGGAGCATGCAGACGATATTGTCCTGCTAGATGAAGACGCTGATAAAATGCATGCATTTCGTACCTGTCATCTGCAGGTAGTTTCAATTTAATGATAGGGAGCGGAGTGGTGGAATGTGTAGACCACTTCACTTACTTGAAGAGTTGGATAAGCTCGAACGTGTGGTTGCTGACGAAATCCCGGCTCGGATACGATACAGAAGGCATGTTTGGCGTTTGCCAACTTGCATCATTTGTGCTGTCGACCGTCGAGATATCCGACGACATATCAAAGGAGGAGTATACTGCGTTGCAGTTTGTGCTGTCCTTTTGAACGATTGTGAGACACGGCTGTTAAAAGTGGAAGACATGTAGTGAATTCAGGGTTTTGATCATAGGTGTCTTCGTAGCATTTCTCATCTTTTGTGGAATCATCGTGTGAGGAGTGGTGAGGTCAGGCGAAGGGTACTTAGGAAGACAGGCAAGTTGATTGATGAGGTTGTGAACCATCATTAAGTGAGATGGCTTCGACATGTGTGGCACATACCGAAACACTGTCTACCTCGGCGTGTCGTGCTAGGTAAGTTATATATTCGGTTGAAAAAGGGTTGAGGCTGGCACCCCTAAATTTTTAGATGTGTGGCTGAGTGGTTTAGGGAGTTTTTTTTCAATAGGTGTTGGGAGTGTTCAACACCCGCTCCACCTACCAAGGTTTGAGTAGCCAGGTAGTATCACTAGCCCTCACACAATGTGTTCGGCTCATCCCTACTACAGGTATGTGGAGAAGGTGGTGGAATGCGTTGATGATATAAATCTTCTCCTAACTATGTTCTTAGTATACCACCGTGAATTGTGGCAACTTGAGCCTATGCACTCGAGTGCAACGTCCTACTTTGACTTTGTCTGTCTACCCTTTTGCATAATGGTGACAGGTGGTATTCTGAAATCAATATGTACCCCGAAATGTATATTACCTTCACGGTAAATCAAGTTACTGTTGACAGAGTGGTACCAGATCAGATGCCATTTAGAGATTTCCACTATTTGACCTTTTTTATCCTATAATCTCCACGGTTACTCTTATAAAAATGTCACTAGTTTTCGACTGACTTCATATGAACATCTTAAGACTAATATGCAATTCGGAGCAACCACTAAGTTAAATGAAGCTAATGAGATAAGCTCAGTTGGTAAGGAATCAAACCAACATCCTGACGATCGTTGGTTGGGACTATATCACCAACGAGGCTTCCATCCAACTTTAGTAAGGATATCCTTGCCTCTATTAAACAAGGCGTCTCAGATAGTGGACTTTTCGCCGTAAACAAATCTCCTATTTTTGCGCTCCAAGTGACTAGTCACTTAAGATGCTTTACGACTATGTGTCGAGAAATCGATCCAACTCTGTATGGAAGTTTGTCGGGATATAATTTATGTACAAATGCAACACATTAGAATATCCGCACTAACTAATAAGCCTGAGATTGATAAAAATCACTAAAAAGTACATTTATTCTTGGCCAAAGTCCATATGAACTTCCCCCCCTCATCGTGTTTACGAACATAATAATGTGGAAAATCAAAGATGACCTAACATTTGCAATTTTCATTCACAAACCTACTTCCAATGACCGATTACAGAGAATAAAAACAATTTTAAAGATCAATATTTATTTTATTTTATTTTCCTGAAGCGTATACTTATTACTTTATGTTCAGACAGTCTATCTGCAATCCGAGAGACACTATATGGAACTACAGAGGCTTTGGCTATTCATTTAAGAGAAATGAGTGGAGTTCCCAGGAGAAGAGGTTGCTGGTAAGGAAATCTAGGTTTTGTAGAAAGACAATGATTGAAACAGAGCAGATACATTAACGTTTCTATAGTGCTCTAGAACTCTAAAAACCGCTTATTTCTGATTCGCATGAACTCATGTGTTTATGATTTGAAAACCCCATCACTAGCCAACTTCAATTTTCAACCTCTCACATGACTTAATAAAGGCTTCTCCTATACCTTTTCTATGTCACTTTTATTCCTGTCGAGGTAAGAAGTTCCATGTTAATCCACTCGGTAGCATATATCCTATATCCAAGTTATCACTGAGACAATAGCATGACTGAGACTCATTAAAAATGACTCAATCCCTACATTCTGTTCCTTTTATTTAAGTAGAAAAGACAACAATAAGAAAAACTTGTCTTTTTTGTAGACAAAATATTTGGCAGAAATGAAACTAAACAATAAAAAGTAAAACTGAAAACCAGTAGAAAATACAAAGATTAAAAGAGAAATGATTACTGTTCGTGGTTTATGATCAAGTTCACTTTTGTGCTATCCCCTTGATCTTTCTAATTCTAATAGATAACAAACTCATTCCTTTAAAACTTCAGTTCTCACACGATTCATAGATTAAAACGAAAGAGTCAATCATGAGGTGAAATACTCACACAAGCAGTAAACAATAAAAAAAAACGCTCAAGAGCTGCACATCAGAAGAATACACTGGTTCTCAGCTCTAAAAAAGACTGGATAGAGAGAAAAATAAGCTAGCTGATATGCATCAATAACCACAATAAAGACAATCAAGTTCTTCACACAGAATAGGAAAGTTTAGAAACTAATGACTTAAACAATCTCCATAAACGCAGGATGCTGACGCAAAAAATAATAATAAAAGAGATTCGTTAAAAAAAATAATAAGCACAAAGAATGCTAGAATGTATCATGAATAACATGAAATACAAAAATAAACAGTAAATTTGGAAGTAATCACGATAACATGGAAATCTCTAGTGTAATTTATTAACCGCCGTTCATTATTCACTGTAAGCGGGTACGTACGCGGAATAGACAATTTGATGGACTGACAGTCTGGCCGGCGGATACATGTTTTCTCTTCTCCACTTGACATGTATAATGGTCTAAAAATTAGTGCTATACCAGTGTATCGTCCGTATACAAACATGCATAGGCAAACAAATGACAAACAAACTATGCCAAGAGTTAACTCGATTAATAAGGTAATACCTGAAGTAGAAAGCTGATCCTTGAAAAAGTCTGTGCATATATTAAAAGAAAGATTAGTAATTGTATGAAAATCACCAGCAAAAATAAACTTGTATCAAATAGCACAAGTTAGATTATCTGACATAAAGGCGAGAAGAGAATAATTACTACTGCCACTACTACTACTACTACAACTTATGACGATAATAGTAGTAACAGTTGGCCTTGTCAACAGCGTTGATGATTGCATATATATATGCAGCAGTAATTTTAGCTTTGTTTACATAAAAAAATTACTTGATATAATAAAGTAAACTGTTTAGAAAATACAGAAGTTACTGAAAATGAAGGCACAAAGAGAAAAAGAGGCGTATGTTCACCACAACAGTCATGCTCTTATTTTTTTACATGACGGTGATATTGTCTGCTTCGGATTCTAGGCCAGTATTGTTCTGCTTTGAATTGACATCAGGTGGTGGGGGCCTTTTAGGCGGCTCTTTATTCAGTTTGCAATCACTAGTCGTTGCTGTTGGTAAAGGCGTCACTATTTGTGATGGCAGCGATGATTCATGACAGTTATCGATATTTGATGATTCCATGGAAGGAGTTATTACTGTCGAATTGATTGAAGTGCCTACAGGTTCTGAAAGACTTCATGATGAATGGGCATCTCTGAAATACTACCATTACAGTTGTTACCTTCCTCGTCAACGAGTGCAGGACTCTCCGATTTTTGTGAATCCGCCTGACTTACTTTGACAGAAGTATTACTTACATTAGTAGATGAGGAATTGGCAGGATATGTAGGAACTGGTGGTTTTGGAGCGGCATTTTTCTTCCTTTGCAGCACAGGAGTATTACCTGGAAGCGACAGTCTAAGGGACAAACAGACAAAGAGGTCATTCAAACCTGAAACAGAGGCTCAAAAATGTATATTTCACAGGGTGAACAAACGTGGAAAAACATGAGAATATGCAAAACAAAAGAGGTGGAAAGTTGTTCAGGTTAAGAAAACCAGGTATACCTGTTATTATTTATGTGACCAAATGAAAGGCGAAATTTGTAAAACGATAACTATTGAGATTAAACAGTCAGCCAGTGTGTGCTAACAGATTGGACCTACAAAGATAATTTATTATTTTAAAAAAATACATTTACCCGTAACTTTTATGGAATCAAATACAGCTGGTGAAATGGTAGCCTAAATTTTGTTCTACTTACTGTTGTCTACATTGAAAAGTATCAATAAATTGTAATGATGGTAATGATAGTAGTGCAATCGCTTACAGACTTATGCGTTGAGTTACACTCAAACACTCATAGGTGAGCGGTAGATAGACAGTTTGGATTTATGAGGCATATGATGGAAGTCAAGTATTCACACGCAACTAATTGCAACCATCCTGTTAAAAAGTTTCTATCTCCAAGAAAAGAAATTCACATAACTTTACTCGTGGAGGTAGCAACGTTTAGGCCGAACTCTACCAATGGTATACCGATTGTTAAGAAGTGAGATTAGATCATATTTATTTACGTGTTTAAAACAGAAATACAGTAGCGCGTACTAGAAGTTGTGTCAAGCTAAAATTCAGTAAGTAGATTTACATTACTCCACCACACTGAGTTACGTATTGTATGTACTGGGTATGTCTAAAGATTGAGGATACCATGTGTGACATTATAGACCAAAATAAATCGACTGCTGTGAAATTCGTGAATGATTGACTATCAATTAAATGGCTACACCATAGTGATACATTTGCTCTATCACATTGAAGAACAAACAAAATGTCTTTAAATATTTCGACACCAGTATGATCTGGAATACCAAATCTACTGAACGATAGAAACGATCAATACCAAACGGAAACTTATCCACTTTATAAATGCACAAGTCTATTGACATTTGTTTCATCTAACTGTAATGTGAACACACAGACAACATAGATCGTCATCCTTCCAACACAGAAGCCTTATATCAAATTCAACAGTAATAAGTGGCTTTCATCTACCTGTATGTGTTTGAATTCATAGTCTAACTACGGAGTGCTTTTAAAAATACGGTTTGAACTGGCTTTGTGAAACGTTAGTCGAGTATAATCCCTAGTCTTTGCACACTTTGATACTGTTTGAAGTGTAATTCACAACTATTACGAAATGTTGCTCTAAGTTTGTAGTAACATTAAGAAGCTTACTTTTCCTTCATGAATCATCACCCCATGTTTTACCAATCACACGTAACATTCTTTCAGTGAGAAGTAGGCTATTCATTTGCGTTACCTGAATGGTTTTATTTAGTAATCATAAAAAATTGTGAGCCATGTGTCAAGAGGCGTTGAGCCATAATATGGGCTATCGGAACTTCTTTTGCCTCCCGTTCAGTGAAAGAATACTCATCAATGCGTAAAAGATACGTTTATCACAAGCTGTACATAAAAGCATATTATGTGATTTACAGTCATAACAAATAGAGTCTATGATCATGTATTAATAATCTGAAAATAACTCAGTGTTTTCAACATATAGCAATCGCCTACCTTCCAGCCATAGGTGATGCATTCAAATGACAAACCGGCAAAGTTACATCACCTCGATCAGGCACAACAGGCTTTTTATTAAGTGTACAGCTGCTACCACCAGACTGGTTACTATTTTGAGATGTTTGTTCATTTGACGAAGCAGTATTTTCCAATACACAAGGTGAACAAGTAGCAGCATTGCTCGACCGTGATGAAGGTAGGGAAACAACGGACGGACGATTTTGAGATATTTTCACGGAGGAATGAGTTAGAACATGTGTTAGGCGAAAAGAGGCTGAAACAAAAATAAACCAAACAGAAAGTATGGATAACTGCAAGTGAAAAAGTAACTAGGATAAAATGTAAACCACGTTTTCGCTTAAATACTTGACATACTTTCTATTGTTACCGAAACGGAAGTTTCAGAAAGGCTAGCTCGCAACAGATAGTGCTAAACAATTTTCGACCACAAAAGACGGAAGATACTGATTACAGTGAGGAAAACCAATGAGAATACAAGATTATTTTCTTTGGATAACTTTTCAGTACTGATTGATGAAGTGAACAGCTAAAAATGATATCCATTTAGAATGAAATAGGGAAGCCAGTAAACACTAATATGCGAACTAGTATTACTGCATAACTGTCTTAACTGCAACACCTCACAACCCACATCAAGATACAAGGCACAAAGATTCAAGATACGGAGATCAAGAGGAGAGCAATAAAATGTAGTGAAGAGAGAGCAACAAAGGACGGAACGATAAAGAAATCCGGTATAACGATGAAGATTGTTTGAATGCGTCTGTCATTAAGATCGAATGTGACTGATGTCACCTAGGATCTCCAACTACCGATTTCGGTTATCATGTGGATCAAGACAGGGAAGTCTACATTTCCCTATAAGACTCAGGTCAATAGTCAGGGATTTTATGCAGTAATACGATGGTTTATCCGGACCCCTCTAACCTTTCCACACTAAACCTACTGCAGTTAACAATTCATGATGTAGTATAAAGTGACAAGGCATATGTAACAGTTTGACTGACAAAATCAACGTAGAACCTAGTACACAAATGCATCGGCTCAAGTTGCCACACTTCGCAGTAGTGCACAAAAACACGTGAGTAGAAAAAGCGTGATATCAAACTAGACAAAGTTGTATGAGAGAATAAACAATTTGAAAACAGCGGTTAGTGCGAATATTCGAACTTTAGAAGATGTTAACGAGTGAATACATCTGCACCATTGTGACCAATTCCCTACGATGTCGCCCAAGAGTTCTCAACCACTGATTCCTTTCGCCTTAAGAACCCCATCCAGTAAGCCACCCAGCTATTTCTACATCTCACACGACTCAGGGGCTTCATCGACAGCTGCCAGGTCTTGCGACGCTGAACCTTCTTCCAACCTAATCCACCTTCCCCTACCAGGGTACGTCAAGTTACAGGATAGTTCGGCAAGCGCAGTGCATGTCTGAGCCATCTGAGTCGACTAAGGTATGAATAAGGCATGTGTGACATATGTTCAAGAAGGATGATGATGATGAAGGATCACAATTTCATCAACTGAGTTTCCTCTTATACCTTAAACTGCACCTGATTTCTGCATTACTAACATAGTGGTATCATGACACACAAACTATGATACGAAAATAACGACAGTAGAAGACCTAAAACCTCCTCATATCATACTCCACCTTTTAACGGCCATATTTTAAAACCACAAGATAGTACTCAACGAATTGCTGAGTAGCCTAATCGTCCCTAAATAGGAAATCAGTTATCTACCTTGCCAGCACCTAAAGTTACACGAGTTGGCAAAGGTCAATGCAGAGATTTTATCGGTTACTCACTCGCCAAGGCTGATCCGACTTTCCAAGTCGACACTCTCATCTGCTTCACACTTAGTGTAGGGCTAAGGTAGATCACTTCTGAAACAATAATTTGAATTTGAGTGATGAGAAACGTATCTCAAAGAATTTCAAGCTGCCACTCCATATGTCCAAAAACTGTAATTTGTCAGCGATTTCACGTAACAGAACTACATCACCCGCGTACTCTATGTCTGCTTAGGAGTCTATTGTGGCAACGTGAATCCCTGTGAATTTAGACGAGGAGAGGAACAATAAGATATATCTATCCAGTGTTATCATAATAGGTTATACATCGCTGAAGACGTCTACAAGCTAAATAGATGCGGCAATCTCATATTTTAATGAACTGGTACCATATTGTGGTTTGAATAGGCTACGTATTAAATAAGTTTATTTGATATGATGCACAGTAGAACGGTATTATCTACTAGGCCAACTTTAATAAGATGAAAATAAAGATTGATTGTCGAGTCCATTTAATAATGTTGACGCAAGACCCGTTTTGAATATATGAGAAATTCTGTTACCATAGGAACCAGTGAACGATAATGACCGGACTATTAAAAAAAGTGTTAGAAACTATCTAGTGAATAATATTGTTTAACTGTTACACTAGATATTTTTTTTAAAATTGGAATGCACTCAGCAAACTTATGCAGGTTCAAGGAGCCACACTTAATACGTGATGGGCCAATGATATTATTCGGTTGCCCAAACCTCAGTAGGTGGAGTGGGGTGCGAACCTGTTGTTGAAAGTCGACTGCCTAAACTAATGAGCCACAATTCTACCCATCAGAGAAACTTACTTGGTATGGAATTAAACTCTATCAAAACAATGTCCACACTCTATTCTTACATTGATCAGTCTACAGCTTCATGCTACAGACTGGTATTACAGTGTATCAATGAAATATTCGTCCTAACTAATACATTACACTAACCCTATAATGGGGTAATGGAGTGTCAGTTACCTTTTAATCACCGTTAGGTATGTAAAAGATATGTGTTGGTAAAATTTATTTTGCATACAAGCGTAAGAAGTGGAGCTCTGACTCACTGGTTTAGAAAATGACTTTCAACCGATGGGCCATGGGTTCGAGCCCCGTTCCGTCTACACAGGTTTGAGCAGCCCTCACACAATAAGTGTGGTTCACTGCCTACTGAATGAATATGCACAAGGTTAGTGAGTGCATTTCAGTCTTTTCTCAACAAGTTTAAGAAACATTTTACTGAATAATGAAGCTTAATTGATGACTTTGTTCTGTCTTTCGAAATGTTAGTATTTATAGGCTCAAAGTTAACAGTAGGATGTTTCGTGAGTAATAATCAAATTAGCTATGCTGTTAAGTTTTCGGAATAAATTGAGTAGCAAATGAATACAATTATCAGTCACCCTATGCTATCAACACTGGCTAAATTGGCTAAAGTTGGGAGTTTATAGGAACTGAAGAACTTTAAACCAGTTTTTATCACTGGAGTTAACGACAGTTGGAGAACCGTTTAAAAACTAAGAGCTTTGGATACCTATATTCCCAAGGTTTTGAACTCCTTAATAGAATGCATCTACAACTTCAGGAGACGTAGGAACTATAAAAGAATATTCGGTATTTTCCAAATACACTTGAAAACATCCTTATATGTATTTATTAATCTTAAAATCCCTTGAAGCGAGTCACATTTCACTACGAAAACGTTGGATATAAAATTGTCGTTGGAAAAAGTTAAACGCATTAAGCAACATTACCAGCCAACTACCTTGTTCCGATCCAAATAGCTGGTCAGCGTTTTGAATGAGAATATCTATCAAATGGATTCCTGGACCATTGTTTTGAAGAAAATCCAATGACTTTCCTCTAAAATAGAAAAAAAAAATGATTAGGCTATCTAGGAGGGGAAAGTAAACCATATTATAGCTCAAAAGATAAGGTATTTCATTGGAATACATGCGCCTAGACCTATTCTCTTAGTTCACTGTCGATGTGCGCTTTTTCCGCGTTATTTAAAAGAAATCCAGGAATTCAATTATTCATGCCCTACAATGAAACAGTGTGAAACTATATCACTCATACTTTTCAGAACATCAGATACAATGAAAAATATTTTCATTTATCGTCACCAATATGTTGATAGTTGAATTTCGAGCTGTTCCTGGCATTCGTCGCAGTGTCACAATTGAAATATAGTCAGTAATCTTTAATATCACACACAAATAAATAAGTTGCCCCACTTCACTAGAGTATACAAAGAACCGGTTGGATAGAAAAAAGCGTGATATCAAAACTATACAAAGTTGTGTGAGAGAATAAACAATCTCAAGATGACGGTTAGTGCAGATATTCAAGTTTTAAAAGATGCCAACGAGTGAATACATCTGCACCATTGTGACTGACTTCCAACTATGTCACCAAGAATCCCCAACCACTGATTCCTTTCATCGCGAGGACCCCAACCAAGCAGTCTACATAGCCCTACACGACTCAGACATACAGTAAGAGACTTTATTGACTGGTGCCGTGTCTTAATCTAGCCACCCTGAACCCTTTTCCAACCTAGTCCAACTTCCCCTAGTGTGGCACGTCCAGATAAGCAGTCGCTCGACATACGCAATACAGTCCAACCCACTTCAGTTGCTGAAGATTACGAAGCTCATCAATCGACTTGCTTGTCTTGCCTAGTACCCTTCACCTGACCTTAGCATTCCTCACATGCTGATTCCACCAAATGTGAGTAATTGCTTCATACATTCTACTTTTAACGGTCATTTCTCATAATTGTATAACAGAATAGAACGTAGTTGTAGATATTAATCGATGCAGAATAACTTCTTAATTGCAGTTTAGGTTAGTAACCAAATATCGATAGCAACTCACTCATAGGTTAACTTGTCAAGTATCTGTAGTGATAGTGTATACAATCAATAACTTTCCAAGACAGCTTTCCTATCTGGAGAGGAAAAAAACGCTGGAGCTTCCCGTTTCACAATTAGCGAACAAAAAACTCATGCATATATAAATTGATACTGTATATGTTCAGGAATACACAATGTGTTTTCTTAGAGTTTACAACTGGTCTACAACCTGAGAGATTGGTCGAAGGAGTTCAAAGTTTTGCTGAGTCATCACTGTTACATCCAGTTTGACGAAGAATACAACTTAATAACACTTTCAAATGTGAATTAATAAAAGATTCACTTAGTATAATTCAATGCTCAAATAGGATTGCATTATCATTCATGTGAATGAATATGGAGACAGTTGACGTTGTTATCACAATTTTCCAGCAAACAAAATATCACACAAGAAAGTCATGCATGACTGGGTTAATGGAAAAGTCAATTAGAAAATATTTGTACAGAAGGAAAGGAAATTGTTCTCATGTGATTTACAATGCAAATGAGTTTATTGCTGTCTCTCTCTAAAACTCATCACTTTATTCATTCATCTTGACCTTAAAAGTCAGATTCTAATTAACAATTGTATTATTAACCCACAATAACTGTTTGTATTCTCTTTGCAAATAAGTATTGTCATTTGTAAACTGTATTCATTATATATCTATTTATTCTATGTGCATCCAGATTGATTAGTCACACTGACTGATCAAGTTTGTGAGACGTTATCGTTGAATAAGCTTAAATCTAATATACAGTTTAACTATATGTTAGACAAAGGTCACTTCTAAGGCATATTGACTTATGTTAGACGATTGTTGATGTTTTTTTTCTCAATTATGATACATATATTCTCCAACTGGACATATTCATAAACAATTAAAAATACCACCCTGTACACGCAAATACAAGTTTGTTTTTGAGTTAAACATGTTGATTTAGTTGATAATAGCATTTATTTTGTTGAAACAACAAGAAACTACTAATCGAAAATCAAGTGCCTAGATTCATAAACTGCAGTGCCATCAGTCAACATTTTCAACTCAGTGGCCACTAATACGTTCTCATACACCAGGCTGCTGTTGGTAGCATCTATTTCATACAACTTTCATATTCCCTGTGTGCTATATCAAACAGACTACTCCAATTATTCAACCACACTGGTCATACTTCACCCTTAAATAATAATATATTAGGTTCTGTAAGTTAGTAAAGAGATTTTTAAAAAGCGATAAACAGACAAAATTACTTACACATCTTCATTTAGTCGCGTTGAACTTCCGTTAAAACCATTACCAATAGTGTTAGATGAAGACAACCGATATACATTTGGAGCAATAACTATCGATAAATTGTCTGAGGTCATCTTGTTAATATTCGATTGATTAGACAACTTGGACAGGAAACAAATCAGATAACCGAGATTTAAACGAAATTCTGTAGGCATTTGTTCTAGACAAGTTTGAATTAGTTGCATATTGGCTGACGTTGAACCTGGTCTTGAATGTAGATGGAAGAGGAGCAGGCAGATAGTAAAGAAATGCACAAAATCTTAAAGTATAATTGCTAAAAATGATACGAATTGCTAATCATTCAGTTTATTGAATTACAACAATGATGTTCAATCTTTTAATATAGAAAATGCAAGCTTGTTGTGCTGTCAGATATGACTTAGAAGAAATGAACCTCGTTCGTTCGACCTAGTGTGTATGGTACTGAAGATTACTAAATCAAAGCGAAAATCTGGACATCACACACTCGTTCTAATGTTCTTTCAGACGGTGCTAATCCGTCAGGAAAACTATTTTCGAAGTATGCTAATCGCCAGTCCTTACAGATTTACACACCAACATGTACCTACCTGATGAATTGATCATATTAATACCGTGAGAAAAAGCGATGGGATTAGTGGAATGTGGAATAATAAACATTAAATGTTTTACACAAGATAAGAAAGTAGTGAACTGGAATCCCACGAATAATAAAGAACAAGAGATCTACCGTGGTGAATAAGATAAATTAAAAGAATTTCCAGTTATACAAATATAGTCTCACCTTACTCTACTTCCGTAACTAGTTACTGGTTTAATGTCTGCAGTTGACAAAAAACAGTTTAGGTTACTTAGTAGGAGTCAATTATTACTCTTTGGTGTGATAGCTGACACAACTACTTAACACTTCAGACATATATCAGTGGAAGGTTCGCTCAATTCCATATCAATGACTGCGAGTTAAATACTCAGGTGAAGTAAGCCATAGTTCTACGATAGCCAATTAATATGGAGAACGTCAAGCATAAAGTTACATTACTTGTGGACAAAGATTAAAAGACTAATATAGGAATAATGAGGGAGGATCTGGCAACTGGTTCATCCTTAATTAGGACTTCTAAACCATGAGTAGCTGGAACTGTCGAAAGAAAACCTGGCACCTATCTTTGAAGTCTCCGATTGTTGTTCTGAGCCATGACGGGAAGCAATGGCTATTTGGCTGGGTCGTTCAGATGCTGGAAACCAACGGTTAAGGATTATAAATAATAACATAGATATATTCATTCTTCATCCACCAAATCCTCATCATTTTCTCATATCGTTTAAACTTACTCTCCTTCTCTTCACTAAGGTTTCGTTTATTTTACTATCATTTTGTTTCTGTTTCCCCACTCATTTTGAGCTGTTGTAAATAAAATGTAGCAAAACGAGGCGATGCACGTCCATACAAAGTTCTAGGGTTTATTTAACTGTCTGGACTGCATACCGAGCCGAAAATTACATTATTATCAGACATATTAACTGATCTAAAGCACTGATCATTCCACCCAATATGAAAAGACAAAAGTCCCTTTATGAGATCCAAAGGAGAATCAGCCAGACTACAATTGTATGTAAAACAAAAAACTCGAGAAAAGTAGACAGGTTTCAGGTCTAAACGAGGGTGTGTCAATCATCCATTTACACCTCAAGAGGTTTTGGAACATAGAAATACTTAACGACACCCGACTATGGCTATATTTTTGAAGCTGAAGGCGACATTAGACTTTGTTGACCAAGAGGTGTTGTAGTAATGTCTGACTATGAAGGGACTACTGAGCAAGTGCGTAATGCTAACGAAAGCTTTCCGCTGAAACTCCTGCAGTCACATAAGGGCTTGTGAAGAGATACCAACTGAAGTGATCATAACCAATGGTGTCTTCCAAAGACGTCTGTTATCACCATTTCCGCACAACTTTGTTATACATATGGAAATGCAAATAACAGTAGTTACTTCCGGTTGTTTAAAAATCGATTTACTCCATGGGTGGCACCCGGTTGACTTATAGTACGCAGACAACATAGTCCTGTTGGGCGAAGAATCCGACAAAATGCAGGGTCTTTTGAACACATTAAGCATATATCTGAGTATGTTTGGCATATGTTTCGCATATAAAATGTAAAGGAATACCTCAGGGTTGGTCGGTACCATCCAAGGAGAGGGAGTGACGTGGTACAACGTGTTGACCTTTCCCTTTACTTTGAGATATGGACGGTAAAAATAGAAAATAAAACGATTACAGGCTTCTAAACATAGGTGTCTTTGCAGCACTCTTCACTTATGGTCAAACAACCATGTGAGTAATGTAGAGGTTAGGTGGAGGGTATTATGCAAGGAAGGCACGTCATTCAATGAGATTTCTACGCCTCACCAACTGAGGTGGTTTGGATGTGTTGGGAATGCTAAAGCACAACCTACCACAACACGTAAAGTTAGTCGAAGTAGGACTGGGTTAAAAGAAGGCCATACCAAGACATGGTAGTCTCTAAATGTTTGTCTGGGTCATGTAGTAAGGCAAAGCCTGTTTAGTTGCTGTTCCTGAGATAATAGGAATTAACAGTTGGAGACGTGGCTGAAAATCGGTCACAATGACGCAGATGTGTTAATTGTTTCATGTCTTCTAGACTTTAAACATTTTTACTAACCTTCATTTTTCAAAATTCTTTTCCCGCCTATACACTTTTATCTAGCTTATTATCAATTAGTTCATCCACTTCTTGCTTGGATGTTGCTGTAAATTGTGGCAACTTGAACTTCTGTTCGAATTTCTACGCTGATATCTGTCTGTCAGTGAATACTACCACATGGAATCCATGAAACTGAAGGGTAGTGAAAAGCACATGAAGTTGGAGACACGATGTTAGAACTAAGTAAGCGGAAACACATAACCGCAGTTTATTTATAGTAAAGTACAATCATTAACCAGTGCCAACAGCGGAAATTTATCTTGATTCTTAAAACAAATCAATTTCCTGCAAACTTACAGTTACATATTAATAAATTACACCTTGATAAGCAGGACTTTCTGAATTCACAATGGAATATAGTTTAAACCATGTGAGTAAGAACAGATGCATAAGATTACATAAGTTGATGATTATTTTACACAAAGGGCTGGCTGAAGGTATGGAGCGCTAAACACTGACTCGTGACTGGGTGGTTAGACTTTAAGACAGTTGTCATAAGCAGGGCTTTTAGAGAGGCTTATAGAGAGTTGTCACCCACTGTCACTGTTCCTATTTAATTTTGCTAACGAAGTACCAATGAACATAACCTTAGATAGTCTGACTTCATAAGGATTTATCTACTCCCTGGATGGTGTCCGACTGACTTGGAGAATACAGAAGACATTGTCCCGTTAGGCGAAGACTCTGACAAAGTGTGGAGTGGGTTTGACATGCATTCCACACTTGTCGAATGCAAGATGATACTTTAAGACAGACCATGCGAGATTCTACGTTGATTTTCTCCGTTTATACACACAACATAGAATATTCCAAGATGGAAGATGAAAAAATTTTCTTTTATATATATGGCAAAACTTACTTTCTAGAAGCAGTAGCCCACTGATCAGCAAATTCATAAGTGATCAAAGGTTCGGGAAGACTTAAAAGGTATTGTTTCAAGGCACCGGCAACAACAGCACAATCGCACTTTCTGAGTAAATGTTCATCAATTTGCATAATGTTTAATGCTTTCTATAGACAAAGGGAAGAGTTTACTAAAAATAAGCAAGTAAGCAAATTAATAATGTAATCAAAATGTTTAAAATTTTATTCAGTAATACAAACAGCATAAAGATAAATTCATGATGAGATTCTAATAGAATTACCAAGACACTGAATTTCTCATTTCTTGTGTAAGGGTCTGAATACACCGATGACGGCAGAATTTGTTTTAACACATCAACGTTAACTAATAACTCATTTCAGGGATAGGATATACGCTGAATCGAAATTACTTGACAATACATAAACAATTTGTGAATTGTCATCATATGATATAAACTTTCAGTCTTTTTATTAACTCCGGATAAGAATATTAAACAAATGTAACAAATTTTTGGAAGTCAATTAGTTTCACTATGCAGATAAATAATACACATCACCAACTCAACGAGACTAGTTAGTTTCATGCCATTTGGATGCGCATAGGAACAATTTGCCACACTTTGCAGGAAGCTCTGTAGGATGCTTGACCTATCTCACTACAAACTACATATTTCTCCTAAACGATGAAAAGTAATACCTCAACCTTAAAACTACTTTTGAAGTCTGAAAACACACTAAGGTGAGTTTTGCCTTGTAAAATGTGAATCTCTTTCCATTCGTGGCATCAAAAGGTTATGTTTGCATAGAAACACAACTTCCAATTAATGCAATCGGATCGCATCAATGGAGATCAGTGCATGGTTGATAAAGAAACCTCGTTCTGCAATCATCTAGAATGGATAGAAACTGATAATGAACAATATCATCATGAACTGCTCACCAAAATGATAATTGACGGCAACACAAAAAGCTACTGATCCAACTATTAAGTGTCATAATTTATAATTATTCATTCCGTTTAACTAGCATTTTTTTACAACAAGAACACATAGAGAAGCATAATGTAGAAATATAACGACGCCAAGAATACTTAAGAATGATATAAGAATAATGAAACGGAAACGGTATATGAGCCAGATAGAAATGGGCCGTCAAAGAAGCATTGATTACTTCCATTTCAATTTCGGTAACAGGAGAACCAAGAAAGTTGCAACATGATGGCCAACGGTTTCAATTCTGAGTTATGTTTGCCATTTGTTTCAAGACATTCAGTTGTCTGACCTCTCTGAATCCATCTAGAGAGTTGGGGTACCAATAGATGCTACCCGACATAGCTACCCCACGGCACGAAGTCATATACTGACCACCTCTCTGCTTCTTCCAACCAAAGCCATGGCAAATAGGTGGGTTGAAAACTACTGGGATGATACTCGTAACGAAATTAGTGTTCCAAGATGACTTCATTCAATGAATGATGGTCTTCATTACACCCAAACATTCCCCATCTCACCTCATTTTTACTTACATCGTGTTCCCACCGGATGCCATAGGTCCAACGGAGATAACGTTAGTTAAATATGCAACCATCGAACCTCCTCAGATGGAGCTGTGGCTCAGTGGTTTAGAGAGACGACTATCAACCATTGGGGTCACGGGTTGGAGCTGCGTTCCACCTACCGAGGTTTGGGCAGCCAGATAGTATCACTAGCCTCCATAGAATAGTTGTGGCTTATTGTCTACTGCACGAATGTGCACAAGATAGACGAGTATGTTTTTTTTATCCCCAGGTCGAAGAGGCCAGATTTGATAGGTAAAAAGCAGAACTTCCCGCATCGAATGCTTGATCATTTACAACAGGATTGATGGCACGACGGAGACAAAAGCGACCCACAATTGTGTATGCTACTTTGATTTTCGATATACGGCTTGAAATCTCATCAGTCACTCCTACTAGCCTTAATACAAATATCCAGGTACAAGCATTCTTGCAAAACTTCCAACAGTGCATTTTCAAAGATGATCGGAAATATAGGTCTTAGACTGTCTCAAAAGCATTCTGCATTTCCACTGTGCAAAGCACAAGCCAAACCTACGGACGCTGATCGTCAACCAATTGAATGCGCTTTTAGTAGTAAACTGTATGTTGTCGAAAAGATGATATCGTTCGCATACTGGTGGTCGTAACTCGGTAACAGGTCTATAACACCATGCACCTACAGTGCTGCCACGAGAATGTCAACAAAGTCAAAGAGAAATAGAGGAATCGGGCAAGTCTGTTTAACTTTATTAGTCTGGAACAATGGGAAGATGAGGTTAAATGTCTTTACCTAAGGCGCTTTCTTGCAAATATTTTTAAATATAACAACAAGCTTCCCAAAGACACCTTCCTCTATGACAATTCTAGAAAACAAACCTATTCAATGAATCGAAAATAGCCCTAATATCAAGGAATAAAACGATTGTTGTCCTGGAATACGTTTGGCGGTCTTCGAGCATTTGATAGTGGGTGGATATATCATTAATACATTCTTGAACTGGATGGGATTCGGCTTGCTCATATGGGTCCATTTGGCACACATTTTGAAGAAAACATAAAGGATGAAAGCATACAATATTTTCGACGCAAATGGTAGTAGACTAGTACGCTAATGACTATCACACAAATTACATTAGAACGATGGTCTCGTTACAGATTGAGGAAACATTCAGTCTGCATTACCTTCTCAAAAGAAATACGCAAATCTCAGAATACAGTCACAGCTTTAGCTTTCTAAAGAATAGGGAGTAATTTGTTTGGGCTGGATACCTCATACCTTCAGAAGCGCTGCTTCGTTTGATGTGTCGATAATAACTAACTATGTGGTGCAATTCGGTGAAGTCGATGTTGCTTGAGTAGTAGACCAGTTCAACTACTTTTCGAAGCGATACGCCTAAAACTCGTTACAAACCGTCTCCTGTCACCAAACCTCTTGCTGCTATAGGTTCTGATGAGCTGAAACAAATTCCGACGATTACAAGACTTAGTTGATGTTTCCATTTCACTCACATGTTCTGACCATTAGACCTCAGAGTCCTTACTGAAACAGTGCATGATCTTTCGCGTGAGGCACTAACGCATAAAAATGAACTTTTTATCTGACGAAATACACTGACGAGCATCAAAAAGTTGGACAGAGCTCAGAGATCCAGTGCTGCACTTAGCTTTACTCACTATTTTCCTAACATTTTGTAGATGCAGCCAATGCTCATCTATACTTTCTAGAGGTTCAATACGTGACGTCGAATTAACCTCGGTTTGCTATCTAATTGAAATACAGGGAGCAACCGGTCCCATTACGTCGACTTGCTTGGATCAGTGACTTTGACCACGATCAAAACGCAAGATAGAGATAGCACATACTAAGATATGATCAGAGCCAAGACAAGTGTTCTAGCCTGAATGGCAGTCCTGAACATATCTATGCCATCGGTAACCAATTATGTTATCGTCTACGTCCAAGCTTGGTGGACAGAAAGAGGACGCCAAGAAACAAAACCATGGCAGCTGTATTGGAAATTCATACTGGCTGGAAACAGGCTATGAAGTGTGCAGAGCTGAAGATGATTCTCATAATCCGATCTGCAACCAACGAAATTTCCATTGGCAATCTAAACGACCTTACTCGCAGCCCGAACGGTCGATCTGTGCATTCAATTATGTGACGAGCACTATTATATCTGTCGAGTGCACTTGCTACAGAAAGTTACTGAAGTACTGGTATAACTCATACTTAACTAAATTCGGGCTGCAGTCATTCGGAGAACAGGCAGAGATTACAAAAAACAATCATTTCTGTTGTCAGTTGATTTGCATTCTAATCGAATTTTCCAATCTAACAGCAGACAAACAACTGTTGATGGCAATCCACTTGACTGGTACAACTTCGTCTCTGGCACTCAATGTGACATGAATACCAACAAAGCTGGCTCCTGATGCCAAAGAGTCCCAACATAAGTGTACAATAAATACTTATTTTGAGCTAGCAAATGGAGTTATTCAAGGCACTTCACTGGGATCTTGTAGACAGGTCTCTGAAATACAGCGTACATCAAGAATGAGGCTTTCTACGCTCCTAGTCAAACCTGTTTGTTGTCTGATCTGCATCAAAGTCCAAATGCTGAAGATAACCAGCTTAAACGGTGCGTGAGGTTCCAAAATAGTTGAGTTAGATATAGCACTCAAGGGCAGCTTTGTGAAAGCAACTGTTTATAGACCAGCGAAGTGAAACAAAGATACACATAAAGTGAAAGTTGAAAATGATGACGAAAAGTCAGCAGAGTCAATATATAAATGTAACGATTATGAAATGACACATAAAATGCTTGAGTTTGACTTTTTATTACAGATTTAGGTGCTTGTAGAAAACGTTGTATAATGAATTGGAGTCATATTTCAGTGTAATTCCAATATTTGCACGTGCGGATTTGAAACTGTTCGGACACCCGAACCAAAGCTGGAAAAATAATACACATCGAGCTATTTGAAACTGCACTATGATGACAAGTAACTGATGTCGGAATGAAAAATAAAAGAAATTCACTTGATAACCTTATGCACACTTGTCAATTAGGCAATGAAGTACACCTACTTTGTGTGAGGTCAAGTAACACTACTTGACAGCCCAGAATACGGTCGGTGGGGCGGCGTTCGAACCCTTGATCCACTGATCGTAAGTCAACTCCCTAAACCAGTGAACGGCAACCCCACAAGTGTTCGTTGTTAAAAATTATTGAATGTAATCATGAAGAACACTTAAACGTAAATTTCCTGCGTATTCTTTGAGTTAGCATTGGTTGCTGTAGAGTTTTTAATGGAACAACCGTCTCCAACGTAAGTTGGGGGTGTTCCAGCTTCAACTCAGAGAACACTTATCTGTCAAAAAATTCACAATCAAAACCTATAGACATTCCTCGCGATATCTGGTCACGAACTCACTGCAATCGAGTGAAATAAATATAGGATGAGCGAAATTGTCTTGAACATATTCACAAGCACAAACAGATTACTTCTCTACACTAATCACCTAGTGCAATCGTTGATAACGATTTTTATCGTTCAACATTTTGTTCCATAGCTGGCTAATTAGATCAAGCTAAACTAAGAGTGA